AGATTAAATCAACAAACAAAGAAAACCTATATTACAGTCTCCGTTCTTTTTTTATAATTGAAAAAGTAAATGATGTCTCACATGAGATTAAATCAACAAACAAAGAAAACCTATAATACAGTCTCCGTTCTTTTTTTATAATTGAAAAAGTAAATGATGTCTCACATGACATTAAATTAACTAAGTATTTCAAAACATTTCAGCATACATGTCTACTTTCAACTAATCAGACATTATATCCGAAAACTGCAATTATTAAGTAAACAGTTATAAGTCGGAAAAATGAACTTTGTAGAAAATGAGTCCAAATGTTTCAAGCCATGTATCTCTGAAATACGTGTAAACTGACGATTGTGAAATGTATTTTTGTGTTTCTAAGACAATGTAGTTTTAAAATATAATGAGAAGTCAAAATGTGAATTTTCACCCATAAAGTTCCTTATCTCACGTTTGGTCACATGATATTGAATACTTCTTTTGAAAAACATTTGAGGGTAATTATCAATAATGACCTATGTACCAATTGCCTGGAGGAAACTGGGCCACGGATTGGATTACTACCACGCCAGGACACACCGATGTCCCCAAGCGTCCACAGTCTGGGGCGGATGATTAGATCGGAGAATTAATGATGTCTCAGTTATAGAATATCTCATGGCTGACTGTACAGTGTCTCTTTTTTTTGACAAATCCACGAATATTTTCGATATTTCTTTATTTTATATTGATAGAGTTTGGGTAGATTAGTGGCTAAAGCGTTTGCTCGTGACGCCGAAGAGCCAGGTTCGGTTCCCCACTTGGATACATTGAGTGATGATCCTTCTTTGTGTCCCCAGCCGTTGTATTTCTGTGATGTTTTTAAAAGCAGCGTAAATACCCACACGCCCCACACACATACACACACACACACATACATCTCCCCTTACACATACATGTCAACTCAACCAAATCCCAGCATCCACTCTATCGCCCACCGACACCCACCGCCTCACCCATCCCCACCTCCTGACATCCACCGCCTCACCCCCATCCACATCTGACACCTACCGCCTCACCCCCATCCACACCTGACACCCACCGTCTCATCGCCCCCCCCCCCCCCCCCCCCACACACACACCTGACACCCACCGCCTCACACCCATCAACATTTGTCACCCATCCTATAGCCCACCAAAACCCACCGCCTCACACCCATCAACATTTGTCACCCATCCTATAGCCCACCAAAACCCACCGCCTCACACCCATCAACATTTGTCACCCATCCTATAGCCCACCAAAACCCACCGCCTCACACCCATCCACACCTGACACCCACCGCCTCACACCCATCAACACCTGTCACCCACCCTATCGCCCACCGACACCCACCGCCTCACACCCATCAACACCTGACACCCACCCTATCGCCCACCGACTTCCACCGCCTCACACCCATCCACACCTGACACCCACCGCCTCACACCCATCAACACCTGTCACCCACCCTATCGCCCACCGACACCCACCGCCTCACACCCATCAACACCTGACACCCACCCTATCGCCCACCGACACCCACCGCCTCACAGCCATCCACACCTGTCACCCACCCTATCGCCCACCGACACCCACCGCCTCATACCCATCCACACCTGTCACCCACCCTATCATCCACCGACAACCACCGCCTCACACCCATCCACACCTGTCACCCACCCTATCGCCCACCGACACCCACCGCCTCACACCCATCAACACCTGACACCCACCCTATCGCCCACCGACTTCCACCGCCTCACACCCATCCACACCTGACACCCACCGCCTCACACCCATCAACACCTGTCACCCACCCTATCGCCCACCGACACCCACCGCCTCACACCCATCAACACCTGACACCCACCCTATCGCCCACCGACACCCACCGCCTCACAGCCATCCACACCTGTCACCCACCCTATCGCCCACCGACACCCACCGCCTCACACCCATCCACACCTGTCACCCACCCTATCGCCCACCGACACCCACCGCCTCATACCCATCCACACCTGTCACCCACCCTATCATCCACCGACAACCACCGCCTGACACCCATCCACACCTGTCACCCACCCTATCATCCACCGACATCCACCGCCTCACACCCATCAACACCTGACACCCACCCTATCGTCCACCGACATCCACCGCCTCACACCCATCCACACCTGTCACCCACCCTATCGCCCACCGACACCCACCGCCTCACACCCATCAACACCTATCACCCACCCTATCGCCCACCGACATCCACCGCCTCACACCCATCAACACCTATCACCCACCCTATCGCCCACCGACATCCACCACCTCACACCCATCAACACCCGTCAGCCACCCTATCGCCCACCGACATCCACCACCTCACACCCATCAACACCTGTCACCCACCCTATCGCCCACCGACACCCACCACCTCACACCCATCAACACCTGTCACCCACCCTATCGCCCACCGACATCCACCGCCTCACACCCATCAACACCTGTCACCCACCCTATCGCCCACCGACATCCACCACCTCACACCCATCAACACCTGTCACCCACCCTATCGCCCACCGACATCCACCACCTCACACCCATCAACACCTGTCACCCACCCTATCGCCCACCGACACCCACCGCCTCACACCCATCAACACCTGTCACCCACCCTATCGCCCACCGACATCCACCACCTCACACCCATCAACACCCGTCAGCCACCCTATCGCCCACCGACACCCACCGCCTCACACCCATCCACACCTGTCACCCACCCTATCGCCCACCGACAACCACCGCCTCACACCCATCAACACCTGTCACCAACCCACCAACCCTAACGCAATCGATTTGATTCTGCGTGACACATATTAGCCGAGTGAACCATACTTTTATGAAACTGTTTGTAATCTGTATGTAACTTCAATCTGTATTGACAGGGTGACGAGATAGCGATCTTTCAACATTCCCAGGATCAAATAAGCATTGATCGCTACCATGTCTCACTCAGAGCCTATATCCATTGGAAACACGTTTTTAGGGATCCTTTTTAATAAACATTCAGCTCGTAACAGTATTTAGACAGTGTTTACAGGTATTATAACGGATAGAATTATACCTGCCATTGTGTCCCCACCCGTCTCTTGGAAACACCTGCACGCAGAGCTTAAACACATAGGCGAGTATGTTATTACTTTACACTGCGCTTCAATAACGTACAGCCAAGCCCCTCTATGTAAACCTGAGGCTGGTCTACTTCAATAGAGCCGAGAGGCTACGACATGGCCTGGGGATAGGAAGGTTTCACGTCATATAGGCAATATAAAGGACATTCATTCTAGGGCGACGTTGGACAGATATAGAATATTTCCCCGCTATGGATCATCACGGACAGTGACCATACCTGAACCATCTTGAAATACACGCCAGGGCTCATCTATATTTATGCAAATTCCATTTTTGACTTCTTGTTTATCTGTTTCTTTGTGAATATACACTGAAAACCCTTTTTCCAGCGAAATGGGTAAAACTATTTCAGGAGAAATAAAAGCGTCTTTTCTACAAATAAGACTTAATAGTGTACAGTTGCATGCTGCAGTAGAATGTAGTGTTAACCGTGTACAGTAGAATGTAGTGTTAATAGTGTACAGTAGAATGTAGTGTAAATAGTGTACAGTAGAATGTAGTGTTAATGGTGTACAGTAGAATGTAGTGTTAATGATGTAAGTAGAATGTAGTGTTAATCGTGTACAGCAGAATGTAGTGTTAATAGTGTACAGTAGAATGTAGTGTAAATAGTGTACAGTAGAATGTAGTGTTAATAGTGTACAGCAGAATGTAGTGTTAATAGTGTACAGTAGAATGTAGTGTTAATCGTGTACAGCAGAATGTAGTGTTAATAGTCTACAGAAGAATGTAGTGTTAATAGTCTACAGTAGAATGTAGTGTTAGGCCACCCAAACCACAAATTGAAAATGAATAGTGACTATGTTTCTCATTTCCAAGCTGTTTTAAAATATGGAAGAAAATACAATTTCAAACTCCAAACCTGCACTTTGTCTGTTGTTCAGTAAAGGCGTACACAGTCTGATCGTTATTGGGATAATTGGAGATAAGAAACACATACAATAACACGGGGGAGGTGAAATAGGGTTTAACGTCGCGTCCAAGGTTATTGTACTTTAACAACGGCGTGCATGCACCTTTGTGTGGCTGCTTGTACTAGTCCGGACTAATGCCGACTTTATAGTGCTCGCCCACTGAGATACAATGCCGCAGTTTAACATGAACACCCCATTCAGACACAGTATACTGACTCCGAGCCGATCAGTCCTTGTTTTCGACCCTTAATGCCGAGTGCCAGACAGGGTAACAACAAATGCCATCTTTTAACGTCTTTTGGTATGACGCGTCCGGGGATCGAACCCCGGACCTTTCCATCTCCGGTCGGACGCTCTACCACTAGACCACGGAGGTGGTCCACAATAACACAGACGGTCTTAGTCAATTTCATAAACAAATATACAAATTCATGGATACCTGGACATGTTATTGGAAGCATTCCAGTATTCGTGTGTGATTAAATATTACTGCGTTAGTAAGTTGGGTTTAACGCCGATTTAAAGTGTATTCAGATTCTGTCACCTCATCTGCAAGAGGGCAGAACGGCCAAATCGACATAGTTCGTAGACGTTTATTGCCAGCATGAAAATAGTGCTGAATGGGGTTTAAAATCTTTTTTAAACCGAGAATCGGATCAGCAGATCCTGGCAACCAAGGGACGCAACTCTGCAGATGTCTTTGCGTTTGTCAGATGACTCAGTGACTCAGACAGTACATACTTTGTTAAATCAGTTGCTCAACACAATCCAAAGGTTGTCTATCACTATATGGTTAAAACACTACCGATGTGACTTTGTAACTCACTCACTCACTCACTCACTCACTCACTCACTCACTCACTCATTGCATTGATGTTTTTCAGAGATGACGTCATCATGGATGACCTGCCTGGTGGTATTAGCTGGTGTAGGAGTCATCACTGCACAAGGTACGTGCTTATAGTTCCTGTCTGGTGGTGCTAACTTGGGTAGGATTCATCACTCCACAAGGCACGTGCTCATATCACCTGTGGCGGGTGATACCACACGGGTGGCCCAGTCGTCTAAGGCGCCGCGATTCGCTGTGAAGAGATGGGTCCCCTGGGCACGCCAGAAACCTATGACTGTGGGTTCGAATCCTCGTTCGCCCCGATTATGTTTCTAGGTTTGTCAGCACCATACCCGTGCTCGTGGGTTTCACCGAAGTGGTAAACGTCAGAGACCTGCATCACTTCGGGCTTTCCTCCCACATTAAGCTGACACGCCGTGATATAACTGGAAGAATGTTAAAAACGGCGTTTAACCCAACTCACTCACTCACTCATGTTGATGATTTCTGTATTCTAGATATGCGATTATGTTTTAAAATGAGCCATTTAAAACATTTTGAAACATATAGAATAAACGATTCATATTTCTTCACGATCCACGCGTTCAACAAAGACTAATACTTTTTAGAACAGTTTAAATGAATAAGGGTAGTTATGGGTAGATCGCAGGGTTCCGGGTGATATATCAGGCTATGAAATGCCAAGGCTGCATGATACTTTAGGATATGTAACGAAATGACATTTTCGTAAATCTATGAATTTCTTTTGGATTATATTTCTTGAATGACTGTAAGTTTATTGTTGGTACCCGACACCTACGTTTGCAAGTTTCGTTCACAATCCATTTCTAATTTTAGAGTTCACATTTGTGAATGATGTGACCATTAAGGTACGTGAGGGCCAGGATGTACCCCTGGTTCTCCAGGTCACACGGAGTGGCGCTGTGACGGAGAGTGCCACGGTCACCCTCATCGCACTGGAGTTTACAGACAACTACAGCGAACAATGGCGGCTACCCGTGGAGTTTCGCGTGGACGAGGCCACCCGTTCACTTCCGCTTGGAACACTCGACGATCAAGTAAGTTGTCCTTCGTCTTTCTCTCACCCTACTTCTTCTACTCCAACTGTTCTATGGCCATAAGCAACCCATGCATATCTCTTCCGTTGATGATCCGGATTTGAATTGGTCCTCAACAACCCATGGTTCTCCCCCCTGTATGAATACATCCATGTTTCTGGCTGTTGGTGTGGATGTAAGAGATAGTTGTATGTTTACATCCATGTTTCTGGTTGTTGGTGTGGTTGTAAGAGATGCTTGTATGTTTACATCCATGTTTCTGGTTGTTGGTGTGGTTGTAAGAGATGCTTGTATGTTTACATCCATGTATCTGGTTGTTGGTGTGGTTGTAAGAGATAGTTGTATGTTTACATCCATGTTTCTGGTTGTTGGTGTGGTTGTAAGATATGCTTGTATGTATACATATGCATGTGGTTGTTAGGGTGGTTGTAAGAAATGTGTATATGTGTGCGCACATCCCAATTAACCGGAAGTACATTTTTCAGATCCAGGAACCAGACAGACTATACGTATTTGAGCTCACAGCGCCATCTGCAGGCTACGCAATCGGTGCCAAACAACGAGTGTATGTGTCCTACGTGGACAATGACGGTGGGTGAAAAACCGGAGTGGCGACTTACTCTGCCGTTAGGCGTGCAATTGAGGTCAGGTCATAGTCTTGCATGTTTAGGTATATCAGAAAGTCGTGGAAACATTTCAACATCCCCATGATATTTTTATGTAGACGAAACGAGTTCAGGACGCTTATCTTTATAAACGTACGACGCTCGTCGCGTTTACATAACAATATTTGCAATGCACTGGACACACAAAAAGCAATCGTAGCGCTTCGACAATCGCTAAGGTCGGTTCGTGTAACGGTGCTCTGGGCCCTGTCCAACAAATAGACGTTAGGTGTACGACTGCCGTAAGGTTACGTTGAAGTACAGCCCGAATCGTTTTGTGGAATGAGTTGTATTAGAACGTATTAAGCCCCTTCCTTCCATTGCTCGCCAGATTTCAATTATGCACGAGTTGAGGTGAGGTGAAATGGGGTTCAAGGTCATCGTACTTATACAGCGATGTGCATATACGCGCGCGTGCGTGCGTGCTTACGTGCGTGTGCATCAAGTTTTAATATCATTATTGTATATTGTATATTTATATCGGGCTAAAATGGCTGGATTGAGGTTTTAATGTCGCGTTCAAGATTGTTTTACTTCTATAGCGACATACACGAATGTGTGTGTGAGTGTGTCTGCTTGTACTAGTACGGACTAATGAGGTTTCATAGTGCAAGCCCACTGAGATACCATGCCGCAGTTTTAACATGAATACCCCACTCAGACAGAGTGTGTTTACTTCAAGCAGGCTCTATCCCCTTAATGCCCAGCGCCAGGCATGGAAACAAAAACTACAATCTTTTAACGTCTTTTGGTATGACGATCATGGGATCGAACCCGGACCCTCCGCATTATGTATGAGAAACATCTTTATCTGACTATGTTTGATTAATCATGCTATGTCCTCTGTGCGTGTAGGTCCTGCACTATTCAACTGTAACGCCGGAGACATCTGCCAGAACGGCGCCTCCTGCGAGTCTACGACCGGACAGTGTAACTGCCAAGGAACGTCTATGCCAACTGCATTCAGAGATTGTCGTCTAGATATAAGTGAGTGTATCTCTGTACGAGATGCGGTAGGGCTTCCTTTGAAGCATTTTATTTAATCATATTAAACGTCAACGCCAGAGAATAACCAGTCTCGATTATATGCCGAAACGGACTTAATACGGCGTAAAAGGCACATTGGTGAATTAGCAAATGATATGAATGGATCACTGAAATTCTGTGACGACACCGGGTGTTCGCGAAAAGGGTGAGCATGTTCTGATCTAAACCACCTACGGGTAGTAATGTGATGGTGCTTGTCCCCTGGGTCGTGTGATGCTGCTGATTGTGTCGTCATACAATGGTGGTGTGATCGTTGTTTGACCATCTTCCCGAGGCAAGAGTGTTAACTGACTTTAAAAGTCCAGTTTCTACCCTTGCCGAACTAGGCTGGAATTCCTGGGCTCTATCGTAGCGCCACCAGTGGCTATTACGAGTTATGTCCCTTCTGAGCCTCTCCTTTAGATCAATCAGATTCCACCTCTAGTATCACTTGCATTTACTTGAAACAAAACAGTGGCGCCCAGCCAAGACGATCTGATCGATAATCAAGGTCTATATTGTGTTAAAACGGGTCTTACATCGAGCGATGCGTGAGCACCTTGATTAAAAACATGAAAAGATTTGGAAAATATCTGTTGACAACGAGTTAGCGGTGCACTTTCTTTGCAAAGATCTTTGGGAAGATGTGTTTGACTGGCCCATTCTCGAATACACGCCCATGGTATATAGCTGGAATTGCTGACTGCGGTGTAAAACCACATTCACTCACTCAAAAATATGCACAAATTGCGATATTTGTTTGCTTTGTTTTTAAACTTGTACCACGACGCAATCTGAGAAATAATAGTTCCTAACGTGGTAGTTCTCTACAAAATGATATTGACAGTTGTTTGGGCTTTGACAATCGGATAATGGACGTTATTGTTGTATCCAGGGCAACTAGACACATCCATGTGCGCGAGTGTAAACTGCGGGCAGAGCGGAGTGTGTGTCAACAATGGGAAAGCCACTTGTGTCTGTCAGCCCGGCTATGTCGGGGACACCTGCCAACTGAAGCAGAGCTGTAAGTACCAATAACAATAACAATAACAATATCAATAACACACTGGAAACGATGGCCTAGCTGTCCATGCCGGGATCCTGCGATCGTGGGACGAATCCACAATCGCCGATTGAGACTGCATCACTTTGAATTGTCCTCTCATTTACAACTGACACGTATCTTAACGAGCGGTGTTAAACCCAACTCACTCACTCACACTCAGGGTAAAAGATGGATTCCGCTGTCTTAACTGGCACCAACAAGCCATATTTACTGTACTGGTTCGGTGTTTAGTACGAATTCCACGCCGGAATATGATTTGTAGAGTTGTGTCCCTTTGGTGTTCCAGGATCCTTTGATTGTGGGTTCGAATCCGAGCCTGTTTTTTTATCAGTGTTTTGTCAGCACCCTACCCACACTGGTGGTTTGTACCATAAAAAAAAATATCTGCATCTCTGCTTTCCTCCTACAATGAGCTGATGCTGTTAAACCCAACTCACTCATTCACTACCCCAGGAAACAGAACATCCTTATCTGCTCGGCACTGTTCACGTGTCGACATACACTAATGAGTGGGTGAGTGAGTTGGGTTTAACGCCGCTTTTAACAGAATTCCAGTTTCATCACGGCATAGCCGCTGAATTGAGAGGAAAGCCCGAATGAAAGAGATGCAGGTCTTAGACGTTTACCAATTTAATGAAACTTACGAGTACAGGTATTGTGCTGACATACCTCGAAACATAATGGGGGCGAAGCGGGATTCGAACCCACAATCGTATGTTTCTCTGCACAGTGAATTTGCGCGCCTTATTCGACTGGGCTACGACATTCTCTAGCCTGTCCCTAGCAGCAAATGTTGGCACGGGTGGCCCAGTCGTCTGAGGCGCCGCGATTCGCTGTGCAGAGTTGCGTCCCTTGGGCACGCCAGAAACCTATGATTGTGGGTTCGAATCCCGGTTCTCCCCGATTATGTGTCTAGGTTTGTCAGCACCATACCCGTGCTCGTGGGTTTCACCGAAGTGGTAAACGTCTGAGACCTGCATCAGTTCGGACTTTCCTCCCACATTAAGCTGACACGCCGCGATATAACTGGAAAACTGTTAAAATGTGCGTTAAACCCAACTCACTCTCTCACCTAGCAGCATAACCTGTGAGATAGCCACGCTTGACAGACTGAGTATTCCTGGATCGAAAATGGATGACCATAGATTCCCACGTGTAACATGAGTTCCCTATGTTGCAGACAACGTTGAATGTTTCGCCACCCGCATGTGTTTGAATGTGGACCCGCCTGTTGGTTACACCGGGGAACGTTATGTTCTTGGACGACAAGGCCTCAGCCAGTGCAGCCTCAATGGTGTCAGCAGCGCCATCACTCGGGGCGACAACATCCCCACCACCTGGACCGGCTCCTATATTTGCCTGAACCATGTCGACAACATCTGCGGGGATGTTGAGTCGACGACAGAGGTAGGTGTTCAATTGCTTCGCCTTTCTATGCGAATCTTGAAACTTGCCCTCTAACCCCAAATTTAGTAACGTTTATACTTTTCTTTATGTCTTTGGGAATGCCATCATATTTCATTTTGAAAAGGTTTACGACTGACCATGTTTTCCAGATGAATTTACTCTGTTATTTTAATAACCAGATTGGTTCGAGGTTGCAGACAAACGGATAATCAACCAACTTCCCCATTACATTCTTACTATATCAATTAAATATGATAGTTTTAATGAAATGAAAATTCAAATTGACAAACAAAGAAAGTAATTTAGCAGCGGTAAGAGTATTCGGCGTCACGACAGTCGTCACTTGTTGGTAAACATAACGGTCATTCGGTTGCGAGTTCAACTCCAAGCATTGTTGGGGCCACCTATCACAGTGGGGAGTTTGACTGGTGGCAGCCAACGGACTATCGCTGTGTGAGGAGCTTGCATCCATACATGCAATTGCCTCGTTACGTGACACAAGGTTGATCCAGGCAGATCACAGCATGCGGTATAAAGCATCAAAGACAGATAAAATTCATGCTACATAACATTACATATATATATGGTTTGGTGCATTATTGGTAGGAGTACTCTTATCAGAATTTAATTATATCATTATCATTATTTGTATCGGGCGACAAAGACTTCACAGCTGGGTAGATTAGGCTAATTTTGTTTGTGCTTGTCCACACTTCTGCCGGTTTTATAGAGCTAGCCTTCTGAGATACCAGGTGAGGTGAGGTGAAATTGGGTTTAACGTCGCGTCCAAGATTATTGCACTTATATAGCGACGTGCATGCACGTGTGTGTGTGTGGCTGCTTGTACTAGTCCGGACTGATGCCGATTTATAGTGCTAGCTCTCTGAGATACCATGCCGCAGTTTAACATGAATACCCCACTCAGACACAGTATACTGACTCCGAGCCGACCAGTCCTTGTTTTAGCCCCTTAATGTCGAGCGCCAGACAGGGTAACAACAAGTACCATCTTTTAACGTCTTTAGGTATGACGCGGCCGGGGATCGAACCCCGGACCTTCCGCTCTCCGGGGGGACGCTCTACCACAAGACCACGGAGGCGGCATCTGAGATACCAAGCGGCAGTTTAACACGGATACGGACCCCTTAATCTTTTGCTCTTTGAAGCAGCGTTAAACCCGCCTCACTCACTCACCACAGCCGGTTTCAAACTATGAACTCAAATATATGACCTTTATTTACAGAGTGACAGAACCATCACCCGGGCCCGGAAGGTGATGATTCGCCAGAATAATCTGCGGACAATGAACGACATCATCTTCACCGCCTACTGCAGATACGACTCTTCGGGGACGATCACTATTGATAAGACAAACATTTCACCAAAGTGAGTGCATAACTGTGATGTATCTTCTTGCAGGATTTGGGTTGGTTGTTTTGTTGTTTAACGCCGCACTCAGCAATATTCCAGCTATATGACGGCGGTCTGTAAATAATCGAGTCTGGACCAGACAATCCAGTGATTGATATCATGACCATCGATCCACGCAATTGGGGATCGATGACATGCATCAACCTGAGCCTGACCACCCGATCCCGTTAGTCGCTTTTTACGACAAGCATGGTCACCTTTAACGGCAAGCATGGGTTGCTGAAGACCTATTCTATCCCGGAATCTTCACAGGTCTGCAGGATTTGGGGGAATGGGTGACCTTGTCTAAGACCCGGCAATTCGCTGTGAAGAGTTGTTTCTGTGTTTGTCAGCACCATACCCCTGCACGTGGGGTTCACTAAAGTGGTAAACGTCTGAGACCTGCATAACTTCCGACCTTCTCCCACATTAAGCCGACTCCTTGTGATATGACTGGAATACTGGCCAAAGCGGTGTTAAACCCTAGTCACTCACTCACTCACTCTCTAAAAGTAATGTTTTTCATATAAACATATTCTGTACTCACTCTTGAAGGATTGTTAAACTTGAAATTAAAGCGCTATCGTGTCACTGGATTGTCTGATCAAGACTCACTAACACTAGAATATCTAGACAAGACTCGATTCTTTATAGTATGAGTGGCGGATGCTTCCAGTAGAGCAGGCAATCTAACCCTTTTCGCGAACACCTGGTGTCTGAGTGAGTGACTAGGGTTTAACGCTGCTTTGGACAATATTCCAGTCATATCACAACGAGTGGCTTAACTGATTTTCAGAGATCCATTCATGTCATTTTAATCATTATTTAGGCTTTAACGTGCCAAGGAGTCTGTTTCGACAGGCAATCGAGGCGTTGATGTTTCTGAGTTACCTAGGTACATCTTAGATAGAGCGAAACCTTTGAAGACCAACGGTAGGCTTTTTAAACGATGTTAAAGTCTAAAAGAACACCCGGTGCTTTCATATAACTGTAGTTAATCTGTCATGGCATGTCACCATGGTAATATGAAAGAATCGAGTGCTCTTTAACTTCTTTTGAAAAGTGTGTATCGAGGTGTCCGTAGTTCGAGACAAACAGAGTATAGATAGTAGACCACCGTGACGATGAGTATTTGACAGGACCTTGCAAAGCAATTATCGAACACCCAGGGCATTTATTGTGTGCGTAATATGAATGGGTATGAAACGCCTCCAAATCCTATTAAACGATATTAATGATCTTCAAGCGTGTTCTTTGTAAGCTATTGGTGAGTGTCTTTGGGTCACGACGGATAGTCGGCCCTGTGTAACCTGTCCTCAACACAAGTGTAGACTGTTTTCAAATGCTCGATGTCGACAATAGAGAGAAGCACACCCTTGCTTAATTTTATATCTATATAGCTTAACGATGTTAATAATGTGCCCTGTATCCTCATCCTCAACATTACGATGATGATGATGATGATGACTGAAATAAAAAATGCATCATCATCATCATCATCATCATCATCATCATCATCATTATTATTATTATTATTATTATTTTTATTATTATTTTGTACAGTCCTCCAGGGTTAATCCTCGTCAACCAAACTAACAACATCAACGCAGCCTATGTGTTCGTGGTGAATCCGGCAACCGGGAGAGAGGTGACGTCGACGGGAGTTGCCGTCGGGGAGGAGGTGTGCTTTGCTTTCGTCATCGAGGCAACAGGTGTGTATCTACTTGTGTTTGAGTCGACGTCGACGTGGGGAATCCGGCGCAGAACATACGCCAGTGACGTCATGCTTGTCTTCAGTATGAGTGTCGGGTGTCTCCCGCTAAATATAAAGTTGAAATAGTACCGATGCGAAGTTATTTGTAACTCAGTATTTTACCATGAATATTCTGGTTGAACAAAAACAACAACAAAAGCAACAACAACAAGGAAAAGCAAAAAAACAACAACCAAAAAAACAAACCCCAAAACAACAACAAAAAAACATCCCCCCTTCCCTCCCTACGGCAGTGATCGTTGTTCATGCTCTAGTCACCGGATTGTCTTGTCCATAATTACAGACCGCTGTGATATAATTTGAATATATCTGATCGCAGCGTAAATCAATATTACTGAGACAGCGTGCCTCACATCAAACCAGGGCTACAAACCTTTTATGAAATTCACCCGACAGTGCGTATGCATCATTTGTGGAAAATAGCATACGTTCATCCAACACACAAACTCTAAATATCATCCATGATATATCTGGCATCAGTAAAACCTGGTTATGTCACATGTACACTATGTCACACCATAGTACCGGACTGTACAAAACATATCATCATTGACTGTGAAGGACTCATACAACAGAGAAATCAGATGTGCGATAAACTTTCTTCACTCTGCATATAAACGATTTTATTAACTTTTGTGACCAGGATGACAATGCAATGTTGAACTGTTTGCTTGGAGGGGATCACAACACCTTATGTCGTGTTGATTTTAGCACTTGGATACGATTTGTGTTGGTTGTCTCAAAGTTTATACATATTTGCAGGTTACACATCAAACAAAGCATGTTCACAAGCTCCTACCTAGAAGGACATTGTATTCATTTTTTTTGTTATCTGCGTTTTGTTCACTACAGGTCATCTATGATTTGACCTAACTTACTGTCATATGTACTCTTCAATTATTGGAGGAAATAAAGAATGTCTGTCTATTATGGAATGTACAGATATAGTGGAAAGGGCTTCTGTCGGTGTTTCGATCCGTAATACCGAAAGACATTTGACCTCACCTGACGTCTAATGACTCAAGCGGGTGGCATGTCGGATAAGCCTTCATGTGGTATGACTAGCGCATACCATGAAATGTGGTCAAACTGCTTAATACGATGCCATTAACCACTTTGACCACATTTCATGGCATGCGTCATCTACACCACATGAAGACGTATCTGAAATGGTTAATACGATGCAACTAGGGGCGGTCGGGTAGCCTATTGATTAAAGCGTTCGCTCGTCACGCTGAAGACCCTGGTTCGATACCCCACGTGGGTACAATGTGTAAAGCCCATTTCTGGTGTCTTCCATCGTGATATTGCTGGAATATTGCTAAAAGCGGCGTAAAACCATACTCACTCACGTTTTGTGTTTCAGGTTACACTTCACTCCGCCTGGAGAGTGTGGTCGCGAACGACCAGTTGAACCCAGTCACAACATATGGGATTCTGGATGAGGGGTAAGCTGGGTGGGCATGCCCACGGTAGGGGCATGGCTCACGTAACGATATGTCTATGGTTTGAAAGGTTGGATAAGTCAGTCGAATTATCAGGAATCAAACGACATAACTAACATTTATCATCCAAAAGTGGCACCCACAGGAGATATCGCTTGGATGAGATCAAGCGATATCTAAACTGTAGATAACGCTGAGATGAAATTACATCACAATGCTTAGCAGACCATTGTGACGTCACAATCAAATGACATCACTAATGGCTCTGCTACTAAAGCTGTTAGCAGTACTTTTACACTGAAGACACTCCTAATCACTGTCTACAAATTGAAAAAGTTGGAAGAATGATGTTGGATGATAAATAAAATCTCAGCCTCGTGTCTATTGATATAAAAAATCAACACTCGTTGATAAAAGTGGAAAAAAATCCTCGGCAAGCCTCGGCGTTTTCCAACTTTAGCAACTCGTGTTGATATATTTGATATCAAAAGACACTCGGGAGAGAGTCTCTATTTAGACTGGGCTACAGTGAACGAAGCACTTTATGTGGAGAAATGAATAATTACAATCACTGATCCCAATACCACTTGAACATCGGTTTAAGAATCCGGGGAGAAATAGAACCACCAGCCCCCCGTGCTTGTCTAAGAACTGACGAAAATGAGAACTGGGCGTTTGTGTGTCATCATACCCGAACAACATGTTACCCACTCATGCTATCAACCCCTAGTTTCCCTGCCCGGGTTATGTTCGGCTGCTTTGCTGTCTAGTATGTGTCTGACTGCGCCGCAAATATGTCGAACAGAGTTGCGTCCCTTAGGCGAAACAGGAACCTATAATCGTGGGTTCACAACCCTGTTCGCCACAAATATGTTCTAGGCTTATCACCACCATGCTCTTTGGTTTCACCAAACGTGGCAAACGTCTGAGACCTGCATCACTTCGGGATTTCCCCCCACATTAAACAGACACACCGTGATATAACTGAAATATAGGTCAACGCGGCGTTGACCCAACTAACGCACTCTCTGTGTTCCAGGTGTCCGGTAAACGGTACCGCTAACGTGGTCAGCAAACTGCCCTTCTTGCCAGACACGGCCGACAGGAGGAGGATCTACTTCTGCATCAACGCATTCGCCTTCAGAAACAGCCTCACGGTCGGCTTCAGATTCCAACTGTCATTCTGCACAGGCACTGACCCCGTCTGCAACCCGGTAGGTCGACCAAAACAATCTGATACCTCCAGCTAGTGGTAAGTTAGCCACGTGGTCAAGGTGTTTGTCCGTCACATAGTTTGCAAGGGATGACAACGTGCTACAGTATGTTAAACACGTTCATGAGGACTCCGAACTTATAATATTACTTTTAGTTTGCTTTTAGCAGACGGGGTAGTTATTCACGGTCAGGTAGCAAGTATACAACGCTTTAACAAGCAAGGCTTTAATAGCTCGTTTGTAAGAAGAGGGTGGCCCAGGCGTCTAAGGCGCCACAATTCGCTGTACACAGTTGCGTCCCTTGGGCACGCCACAAACTTATTATCTTGGGTTCGAATCCCAGTTCGTCCTGATCATGTTTCTAGGTTTGTCAGCACCCAACCATGCTCGTGGGTTTCACCGAAGTGGTAAATGTCTAAGACCTGCATCACTTCGGGCTTTCCTCCCTCATCAAGCTCACACGCCGTGATATAAGATGAATAGAGTTCAAAGGGCCGTTACAACCCACTCACTCACTCACTTATTTGCAAGAATCATAAAGTCGTTTTAACATGGTATGTAATGGGTTTTATCGACCTATATTACAATAGTAGTCGCCTGCAATACAGCTAGATTAGGTCTGAATAACAAGCGGTCATTGACAACAATATTGAAAATATTGCTGAGACTTAAACCCATCAGGGGTAGATGGCCGCGGGGGGTGCTTACCAGCGAACATAGCGCGTTTGACGACAAAGACTGTAAGACTAGTATAATCACTGGACTGGACTAGTATAATAACTGGACTGGACTAGTATAGTCACTGGACTGGACTAGTATAATAACTGGACTGGACTAGTATATTCACTGGACTGGACTAGTATAATCACTGGACTGGACTAGTATAATCACTGGACTGGACTAGTATAATCACTGGACTGGACTAGTATTATCACTGGACTGGACTAGTATAATCACTGGACTGGACTAGTCCAGTCCAGTGAATATACTAGTCCAGTCCAGTGATTAGACTAGACCAGTCGTCACACGTTTGAAGATGTACGTGAATTTGTACATCGTCACGTGATATTGATGAAGGATAATACCACAAAGCCGTCATAATTGACATCTGGTGTCAAGTAATCAGTCATTGGAAGATGCAGTAATTGCAACATTGGACGAATAGTTCTAGAGGGATATACAGGCCTGTACTTAACAAATAAATAAAACATTACATTGTTTGTAGTACAAACAAAATAGTGTGTAGCATAATACACCACGTACAATGCTCCGAGTGTAGTCAAGTTTGTCAAGATTGGGATACGTCCGAAAATATAGGTCAATTGGCAGGCGCACTAGAGTTGACTATTTAGTAAATTTAGCTACATGTATTGCACTGTTTATATGAAAGCGAAAAAAACCTTTCCATATTCATAAGAAATATCTCTGCCAAAAGCAGAGTCCGTTGTACGATTCCGACTACAGCATAAGCATGTGTTTATGAATCACTATCAAATAGTGATGACACCAGGTGTTCGACAAAAGGTGAGCGTAAACCCCGACGGTTGTGCCCACCACAGACACATGTAAAGGCAAGTCAGTTGTTCACCTGTAAAACAACCCGGAAACATGTAGTACAAGTCAAATAGGGAATTGTGGTATGGAGCCCGCTATGGAGGTATATATTGGGTGTGTATTAGGTGGTTGTGGTTGTGGTTGTGGTTGTGGTTGTTGGTGAGGGTGTGGTTGTGGTTGTTGTTGTGGTTGTGGTTGTTGGTGAGAGTGTGGTTGTGGGCGATGGTGTGGGTGTGGGTGTGGGTGTGGGTGTGGTCGTAGGTGTGGGTGTGGGTGTGGGTGTGGTCGTAGGTGTGGGTGTGGGTGTGGGTGTTGGTGTTGGTGTTGGTGTGGGCGATGGTGTGGTAGGGGGTGTGGGTGTTGGTGTGGGCGATGTTGTGGTAGTGGGTGTTGGTGTGGGTGTTGGTGTTGGTGTTGGTGTTGTTGTTGTTGTTGTTGTTGTTGGTGTTGGTGTTGGTGTTGGTGTTGGTGTGGTAATGGGTGTGGGCGATGGTGTGGTAGTGGGTGTTGCTGTTGGTGTTGGTGTGGGCGATGGTTTGGGTGTGGGTGTTGGTGTGGGTGTGGGTGTTGCTGTTGGTGTGGGTGTGGGTGTGGGTGTGGGTGTGGGTGTGGGTGTTGGTGTGGGTGTGGGTGTTGTTGTTGTTGTTGGTGTGGGTGTGGGTGTGGGTGTGGGTGTTGGTGTGGGCTATGGTGCGGTAGGGGGCATGGGTGTTGGTGTGGTAGTGGGTGTAGGTGTTTTGGTGGACGTCGGTGTGGTAGTGGTAGTGGGTGTGGGTGTTGGTGTTGGTGTGGGCGATGTTGTGGTAGTGGGTGTGGGTGTTGGTGTTGGTGTGGTTGGGGGTGTGGGTGTTGGTGTGGGCGATGTTGTGGTAGTGGGTGTGGGTGTTGGTGTTGGTGTGGGCGATGGTGTGGTAGTGGTTGTGGGTGTTGGTGTTGGTGTTGGTGTGGGCGATGTTGTGGTAGTGGGTGTGGGTGTGGTTGTTGGTGTGGGCGATGGTGTGGTATTGGGTGTGGTTGTGGTTGTGGGTGTTGGTGTGGGCGATGGTGTGGTAGTGGGTGTGGTTGTTGGTGTGTGCGATGGTGTGTGCGATGGTGTGGGCGATGGTGTGGTTGTGGGTGTGGGTGTGGTTGTTGGTGTGGGCGATGGTGTGGGCGATGGTGTGGGCGATGGTGTGGTAGTGGGTGTTGGTGTTGGTGTGGGTGTTGGTGTGGGCGATGGTGTGGTTGTGGTTTTGGGTGTTGGTGTTGGTGTGGGCGATGGTGTGGTTGTGGGTGTGGGTGTGGGTGTGGGTGTTGGTGTGGGCGGTGTTGTGGTCGTGGGTGTGGGTGTTGGTGTTGGTGTTGGTGTGGGCGATGGTGTGGTTGGGGTGTGGGTGTTGGTGTGGGCGATGTTGTGGTAGTGGGTGTGGGTGTGGGTGTGGGTGTGGTTGTTGGTGTGAGCGATGGTGTGGTAGTGGGTGTGGTTGTTGGTGTGGGCGATGGTGTGGTTGTGGGTGTGGGTGTGGTTGTGGGTGTTGGTGTGGGCGATGGTGTGGTAGTGGGTGTGGTTGTTGGTGTGGTTGTGGGTGTTGGTATGGGCGATGGTGTGCTTGTGGGTGTGGGTGTGGGAGTTGGTGAGGGTGGTATGGGTTGTGGGTGTTGGTACGGGCGATGGTGTGCTTGTGGGTGTGGGTGTGGGAGTTGGTGAGGGTGGTATGGGTTGGGGTGTTGGTATGGGCGATGGTGTGCTTGTGGGTGTGGGTGTGGGAGTTGGTGAGGGTGGTATGGGTTGTGGGTTGTGGGTGTTGGTATGGGCGATGGTGTGGGTGTGGGTGTGGGAGTTGGTGAGGGTGGTATGGGTTGTGGGTGTTGGTATGGGCGATGGTGTGCTTGTGGGTGTGGGTGTGGGAGTTGGTGAGGGTGGTATGGGTTGTGGGTGTTGGTATGGGCAAGGGTGTGCTTGTGGGTGTGGGAGTTGGTGAGGGTGGTATGGGTTGTGGGTGTTGGTATTGGCGATGGTGTGCTTGTGGGTGTGGGAGTTGGTGAGGGTGGTATGGGTTGTGGGTGTTGGTATGGGCAAGGGTGTGCTTGTGGGTGTGGGAGTTGGTGAGGGTGGTATGGGTTGTGGGTGTTGGTATGGGCGATGGTGTGCTTGTGGGTGTGGGAGTTGGTGAGGGTGGTATGGGTTGTGGGTGTTGGTATGGGCGATGGTGTGCTTGTGGGTGTGGGAGTTGGTGAGGGTGGTATGGGTTGTGGGTGTTGGTATGGGCGAGGGTGTGCTTGTGGGTGTGGGAGTTGGTGAGGGTGGTATGGGTTGTGGGTGTTGGTATGGGCCTGGGCGAGGGTAGGCTATACAGTTAGTACACGTCTAGACGTTGCTTGAAACTAAAACAAGTTCTGATTCTGTTTGGATAACAGCTCCATGTTTGATTGCCATACCTAAAGATAAAACTCGTCAAGTCAAACTTAAAGACTGTAAGATATGAAGTAACACGTGACCTAATTACGTCACAAGAGACGTCTCGCTCTGCACACGTCATCAGTACATTATTCTGATGACACACAACAGTGTAATCCAGTGAACATTTCTATGATCAAAGTCAGAGGTTGAACTATTATGTACGGCTCAAGCATTTTCAAAGTAGTAAACGTCCAAGACTCGCATCACGCATAAATTTGTAATGCTGTTCCAAGCAGCGTAAATCTCACTCACTCACTCACTCACTCACTCACTCACTCACTCACTCACTCACTCACTCACTCACTCACTCACTCACCCCATCCACCCACAAACCCACCCACCCAAAGCCCACTCACTCATTCACTCACTCACTCAAAAAAAGCTCACCCACCCACAGCCCACTCACTCACTCACTCACTGACCCATCCACCCACAAACCCACCCACCCAAAGCCCATCCACCCAAAGCCCACTCACTCACTCACTCACTCACTCACTCACTCACTCACTCACTCACTCACTCACTCACTCACTCAAAAAAGCCTTTCAACCCAGAGCCCACTAACCCACTCACTCACTCACCCATCCATCCACAAACCACCCACCCAAAGCCCACTCACTCACTCATTCACTCACTCACTCTTCGTCTGTATTTCAGTACACCTGTACTGGTGGCAAAGCGTCATACGGGCGGAAGAAGCGGGCGTCAGGGGAGACAACCGAGATTCTAGAAACAACAATAGTCATCAAGGAAACACCAACAGCAGCTCCCAGAACAGGTAACCAGGGCCTAGTCTCTCGCCTTGCAATGTGTGCACATCTTAAATATATTTTGCATCCTAATGTTTTTGTTCTTGTGGAGTGAAGGCCTACAATTAGACAAAGCTTAAATTCTCGTTTCAACCTTTCTAAATGCTCTGAGGATTGACATTTTTTTCGAATCTGTGATATTCTATTCTCTTATAAACATGACAGTGGCACTTTGGCTTTTCAAAGCCTGCTTGCTTTCAGCAATCTCGCAGCTATTCGCGGCGATCGGGTATTAGTGGCAGTGATAGTACTTGTAGTAGTTGTAGTAGTAGTGGTGGTAGTAGTAGTCGCTGTAGTAGTAGTTGTTGTGGTAGTTATGTCAGTAATACAGTAGTAGTAGTAGAAGTAGTAGTAGTAATAATAATAAAGGCAGTAGTAGTAATAGTAGTAGTAGTGTTAGTAGTAGAAGTTGTAGTAGTGGTGATGGTAGTAGTAGCTGTAGTGGTAGTAGTTGTAGTAGTAGTAGTAGTCGCTGCAGTGGTACTTATGGTATACAGTAGAGGTAGTAGTAGTGGTGGTTGCGGTGGTGGTAGTAGTACCAGTAGTAGAGATGGCGGTCGTGGTAGTAGTAGTAGTGGTGGCGGTAGTAGTAGTAGTGGTTTGAGGTAGAAGTAGTAGTGGTAGTAGTTATAGTAGTAGTGGCGTTGGTAGTAGTAATGGTGGAGGTGGTGGCGTTGGTAGTAGTAATGGTAGTAGTAATTGTTGTTGTAATAATAGTCGCTGAAGGGGTGGTAGTAGTTGTAGTTGAAGTTGAAGTAGAGCCAGCAGTAGCTGCAGTCGGTAGTAGCAGAAGGTATTTGATGTTGTGGTCGTGGCGGAGGAGTCGGATGACTGAGGAACGTTGTGTATATAAATCCTTGAAGTATTGATCAAGTTTTTTAGGGGTGACACGTCGTAACTACACTCTCGACTGGAAGAAAGGACGATGAATATTAACCCCCCCCCTTGTTTTATTCCAGACGGTAACTCTGAATCATCCCCGTCAGTGTGTGAACTAACATCCAACATCGTCGCAGCGTTAGCAACTTTGGCAGTCCTAGCCGCCATCTTGCTGATCCTGACACTGGTCCTCCTCCTACGTTCAATGAGATCACGCGATAACTCACGAGACAATTAGTGCCATGCTGGAATCTACGAGCAGCAGGACACGTTAAACATTATTTAGACATTTAATATGAGAGACGAGACTAAACCTAAACGCTCTTCCCGTCGTTGTTTCTGTTGTTTATTCTTTGATGTCAAAGTATTTTTAAGTTCTGGTAAAAAATGTCTTTCAACTTATGTTTACCGAGTTTGTGCTGAGACTAAACTAGGTTTTACCTCCAGCCGGTTGTAGAGATACCAAATTATCCATATTTATTTTTTAGGACGTGTTTATTGTTTAAGTATTGAATTTTCCCTTTTTCAAAATTGTCATTTTTGACATCCCAAGTTCGCGATCATTTTCACCACGGATCAGAGTAGAATTCGCCATGACATTTCAACTAAAGTGACTGGGCCATACAACTTGTGGTTAATCCATGTAAACTAAACAGCTCGAGTCTTCTATAACGGTTAAATCCCCGGTATCCATGTACTAGGTCCCGTTTCACAGAGCCAACTTAGCGCTACGACTGGCGTAAGTCTATAGTAAATAAAGTATTGGAGTTATGGCAGTCGTACGCTTCGTTCGCTACCCCAAGGGGGTCTCTGTAGACAACTTGTTTGTAATTATTCAGAAGTGTTAGCTTTGTTAAATCTGCTGTTCTGAGACAATTCACGTGTACATTTTAATACCTGTATGTAGGAATTTTCATGTTGCACTGAGCTTCAAGACAGAAAAAACATGATTTCACAATCACAGCTGTCAAAAATCGGAGGCTGTTTTAATGCTGTGCATTTTTCTTTATAAAAGATCTCTGCGTGGATAATGTATGTTCTTAAAATAAAGCGATCACGTTTTCATACAAAAGTGTTCTACTTGTTGAAAAGAACTTTTACCACTCACTATCATATGCGTATATAAAGAGTGAAACTTGGTTGATGCATGTCATCGTATCCCAATTGCGTAGATCGATGCTCATGTCGTAAGCTGGAATATTGCAGAGATCGGCGATAAACAGCAAACAAACAAATAAACAAACATACAGTGAAATCCCGTTAGTCAGGAAACTCTTTCTCCGGACGACTGCAATGTCTTCATACACACTGGCGTTTACTCAATACTCGACAATCCGGACATGTGGTAGTCAGGACAATTCAACAGGTTCCGTCCTCATTAACGGAGTTACACTATAGCTATCATAAAAAAGGAACAACTTTGCTTCAATACGAAATTCAATATTTTTATTTGAAATGAAACGAAACTACAATTACAGTGCAAATGATATGTTTTTAGTTGTTTTCTTGAAATTATTTTTATAATAATTCCATTAATCTACTATCGTAATTAAATACATAATTCATGACCCTTTTGCAGATATTGCGCTTTCACAGGATGCCACATTCAGTACGTTTATCGAGGTAAATGTAGATCTGATATTTAAAAACTTTCAAACTTGCCGTTAAATGTAAATGTATGAAACAGTCTGATCATGTTATTGGCGATGACGGTAGACCAGGAACAGTGTTTGAGTAGGTAGTGAAACTGGACGCTAACAGCGTCGATGTGTGTGTCTTTTGATCCCTCTCCCAGACACGCTGCGTCAGATTACACCTTTGAACAGGAACCGGAAGTTGAACGCTCATTTCACACCGGAAGTGCTGAAGTAATTGCGTCCGGTGCTTGATGCAGGAAGAGTAGAACAACAGACAAGACGGAGACAATGAAATGATGTTGAGGGTGTTAGTAGAACGCACACGTGTTCGGGTCCACGAACAAATGGGAATAAAGACTGTGATATTACTCAACGCCTGTTGTCACATAGACGACGAAATGACAATTCCAGGTGAGTCGCGTCACCAGGTACGTCTGCCGTAATGGAGAGAGACAAAACACTTCACGGGTCTTGCACGCTTGAAAAACCTGGAAGAGGAAATAGAGAATATGCATCCATAAATGAATAAGGTAGCTTAGAATTCACAGTGTTAATATTCCCCTGAGAATTTGGCTGAAATATAATTTATAATCACTCTCAAAACTTGGACTAGTTCGTAGAATGGTATAGCTTTGCTATAGCGACAAGCTTTGTTTGTTTGTTGTTTAACGCCGCACTCAGCAATATTCTAGCTCTATGACGGCGGTTGTAGTTAATCGAGTCTGAACCAGACAACCATGTGAAAAACATCACGAGCCAGCGAGCTGACCACCCGATCCCGTTATTCGCCTTCTATGACAAGCATGGGTTGCTGAAGACCAATTTAACCCGGATCTTCATCTTACAGTATCTGCTCATCGTGTCTTCAAAGCCAAGAGTGGCATCGATTATGAACCCACCCTCTGATGCTTGTCATAATTTTGGTTGCCCTTCCCTATGTTTTTGTACATTTTTTTCTTGACCCTCCCTCCAAAAAGACAAACTACAGAAGCACGTTATGCTGTATTATAAAATGCCCATTTTAAACATGACCATCCCAAATGTATGTATTATTCTTAATGACCCTCCCCTAGGGACTGTCATAATTTTTTTATCGGTTCCTTAAGCCCACTACATAGCATGTTTTTGTGTCGAATGTAATACATTACCATCACTATTGAGTCAGCCCTGGAGATTTCGTCCCATCAGCTTCATAAAGAGGTAGTCATCAAAACTGAAACCGGATGCAACCAAGATTAATGTACAGCACAATACTTGACCCGAATCTGCCCCACATAAATCAGCTCTCTAAAACATACATGTCGACTGTATTAACGGGGGATGTCAGCACAAGGCATTAACTATAATTTCATCTTTCGGAAGCCTGCAGATCTATCAAATTGTTTATCACTGGAAAAGAAATAACATCGCTAATTGCCTTTAATTTGATTCAGTTGGCGTCTGGTCCCGTACGTGATTGAAAGGGAATACTAGTAGTCTTTATTCTGCGCTGAACTATGCGCTCTTGAAACAAGCCATTGCTCATTGTTCAATTTAGGACTTCCAGTGTACAGAATTATTTTATCCTATGACGGTACGGTTGTACGATCAGAGTCATGCAGTAGACTATAGTCATTGTCGCAACCTTTGGTGACGGAACCTTGTTAAAGTTGTTTGATCAAGGTTACAACACTCAAGGCCTCAAAAACTTTCGATAGACTCTATGGTGGACATGGGGAGCAAGTTCCAAATTTGATGCAACAGTGGCAAAAATGACAATTGACTTGCTTTTGCATGCGTTTGTGTGCCAGGATACGCTCACCTTTTCGCGAACACCTGGTATCATTTCATTGTGATTCATGAACAGCTGCTCATGATATAGTCGGTATCGTAAAACCTATTCTGCTTGTAGCAGAGATTTCTTATTAATATAGAAAGGGTTGTGACGCTTTTCTTTATTACCGTACCAGTTTGAAGCATACTCTACACACAAGTGCAACTAGAAAATGGTTAATAACCGTTTACTATCTTTTTCTTCGGACAATATCCATCTTTTCAAATCGTATCCTACGTTGAGTACTGTGCCATACTCAAATTAAAATACTTGTAAATATTGCATGGCAATAGTTATTTGATTTTCGATTGATCTGCTTCTGCAGCCTCTTGTCATCATACGATGACATCATGCATATGCATGCTACGCCCATCTTGGGGAACACACAGTGTTCAACCAGTTGTGGTGGTATTTGAGACATTTATCAACAATAGATCTATGATTTGTGTAGATATTCCACCAGGTACGTGGTCGATGGGGATGTATGAATATGAAAAGGTGAGGTCCTCAAATTATTTTCCAGGTATTTAATACCACCCCAACAACACAGAGAACATCCAGCTTCAAATGTCATGTAGCTCACCTATAGTCATCGAACCGGTGATCCAGAGACCGCTTGTTCCAAGCGCTGAAATATTCATTGCAGCTTTTCGGACATCCCTTGGCCCTAGACACCAGGGAACAAATCATTAATATCAACTAACGGTGTGACTGCGTAGTGTTTTCATTGGCAGATTAACAGTCGGGCACAGATGCTTCAAACCCCATTAGTGACCTTTACCATGTTTCCGGGGGATAAGGGGAATGACAGCTACGTCCGTTAACGTGAGAGTCAGCGACATCCACGTCGTCGGGCTGAGAATGATTTCAAATTTTTTCCCAGACATCTCTTCACTTTTTAGACAGATAATGAAATGAAATGACGCGCACTTATATCCAGAGTGAGTGAGTGAGTATGTTTTACGCTGCTTTTTGCAATATTCCAGCAAAATCAAAGAAATGAGTTTCACACGAATGTGCCTTCTTCTTTTTTTAGTCAGTCACATGTCTCAATAATAAATGAAAAAAAAAAGAAAATAGTTAAATAAAGAGCTAAACTTACTCATTAAGAAGAAAATAATTAAAGGAATGAGTTAATGCATCAAATTAGAAGACAATGTACAAATACAGGAACAAACGATATATATTGTTTAAATAGACAAAAAAACGTGCCTGGCAGAAGAAAGTATACGCCTGAAAGTGTGGTGGCTGAAAATGAAACAAGTAAGAAATGGTCATGTTTTGGACCTTAAGTTGCAGTGTTACGGCGACTGTTTGCAGCCTAAGAAGGTTTTGAGTTTGTAATGTTGTGGTGAAATCCAATTTTCAAGTGTATACTTACTTTGCCCTGCCGTAGAACAGTTGAATGAATGAATGAATGAATGAATGAATGAATGAATGAATGAATGAATGAATGAATGAATGAATGAATGAATGAATGAATGAATGAATGAATGAATGAATGAATGAATGAATGAATGAATGAATGAATGAATGAATGAATGAATGAATGAATGAATGAATGAATGAATGAATGAATGAATGAATGAATGAATGAATGAATGAATGAATGAATGAATGAATGAATGAATGGTAACTTCACTTACGTCCGGCAGATGAAGGCGCACAGGTCTTCCTTATCGGCGAATGGTTTATCCGCGTGTACGACAACCAGACAGACCACCATGAGTCCCACCACTGTACACCTGAGGTTCATGCTGACGTTATCTGAAACACAACACATACACCTGTACCAATCCATTCCGCGGCACCATCTATATACACCTGTACTAGCCTCGTCACTATCTATATACACCTGTATTAGTCTAGTAACTTTTTATATACACCTGTATTAGTCTAGTCACCATCTATATACACCTGTACTAGCCTAGTCACTATCTTTATACACCTGTACTAGTCTAGTCACCATCTATATACACCTGTACTAGTCTAGTCACCATCTATATACACCTGTACTAGTCTAGTCACCATCTATATACACCTGTTCTAGACTAGTCACCATCTTTTTACACCTGTGCTAGTCTAGTCACCATCTATATACACCTGTACCAGCCTAGCCACCATCTATATACATATATACTCGTCTAGTCACCATCATCTTCCCGAGGCAAGTGAGTTAACTGACTATAAAAGTCCAGTTTCCACCCTTGCCGAACTAGGCTGGTATTATGGAGTTACATTTTGGCTTGACTAACGAGTCTCTGCATAGTCCTATGAAAATCGCGCACCGAAATCGAAATCCGGTTCGTAAAGTGTCATGCAGATTTCGGTCGACTGCAGGATTTTTCAAAGCATGTGCACCGCTAACTCGTTGTCAACAGATATTTTCTAAATCTCACGTGCTCACGTGATTTGATGCACTTCGGGATGTAAGACTCGTTTTATCACAATATAGATCTTGATTATCGATCAGATCGTCTTGACTGTGCGCCACCGTTTTGTTTGAAGCAAATGCAAGTGATACTAGAGGTTGAATCTGATTGGTCAATAGGAGAGGCATGGAAAGGACATAACTCGTCATAGCCACTGGTGGCGCTACGATCGAGCCCAGGAATTC